CTCGTAGAAGAGCAAAAATGTTTATATCTTATTTTACTTTTTTTTTGTATTACACAAAATATGGCATCTGTTATAAATTATATGTTAGGGGTAAAACCAAAAAGAAATTTCAAGAAATTAAATTGCAAAAGATCAAACAGCTATGACTAGAAACAGGTATTAAATGAATATTTGTAAATACAGAATAGTAAAGTGCCTACGTGCCTTCTCTACTCTGTGTATGTGAATAGTTAGCATATCTTTTTTTAAAGCTGTATGTACATTTCTTGAATCTAGATTCAAATCATATGGCAAGAGGGTTGGAAACACCAGGTACACATGTCAGGGGCTAGGGCACCAGGCTACCCTGGCACACTATCAGGCCAACTGCTGGACTGTTGTTTGGCATGACTACAAATCTCCCCTGCTGGTGGCTCATGTTCCAGGCTCCTGGCTGGGCTTTGCCATTTGCCCTGCATCTATTTGGGCAGGTAGGCAGGCAGGAAGGCACAACTGGGGATAGTTGAGCAATGAGGGGCTGCTGTGACCACAGCTGGTGCCCACAGCCTGGCACACAATCCACCCTCCCCGCTTCCTCCTCACTGAGCACTTCAAGCAAAGGTTGCAGGTACCCAAAATATATACAGAATCTTGTACAGTTTACTTATTTAGTTGGTAAGTTTTTTTTCTTTCAATTTAAAATTTAATTATCCCAGTGCTAAAGGGAAAACAAGATATTTCCATCACCCATTTTCCCCAAGGACAACAGTACACATTCTCATAGACACACTTTTAAGACACATCAAAGTGTTTCTAAATGTGGGAAAAGAAGAACAAATTCAGAATGAAGAGAAAATATTTACTATTAATAGCAGTTAACTTATTCTAAAGAGACATTTCTCAGTGAAGCAAAGGGGTCTTGAAGGTTGTGTTTATGTAACAATGCACATACAAACACACATATATTATCTACTTTTTTTTTTACTTGCTGGGAATATTTATTTTAAATAAACAGACCACTTTAAAATTCAGATGATAGAGAAATCTTAAGGCTCACAAAAATAAACAGATTCTGCTCTTTTGCCTCTTTAAGAGCCAAGTCTCACCTCATTTTTTTTCTTCTTCTAACCTCATCTGGAATCCCAGCTGGAAGCCAGTGACCTAATTCTGCTCAGTTCTAATGCAGAACAGGAGCAAGTTCTGATTAGCCCCACACCAGTCTTGCCAGGATTGCAGACCCCCAAAGTCACTCTCCTCTAGATATAATCCTGTGATCAGCTCAGCACCACTTGCCAACCTTTCTGTCAACTTGGTGAAGTATCTTTCCCTCCTGTCAAACAGAAACCTATAAAAAGTTTAATTTGGTTTACATTTTCACTGTCAAAGTGAGTACAATGTTCTCTACTTTGGCCTAAGAGAAAAAGAAAGTTGCTTGCTCTAGGTCTTAGATTTCTATCTTTGTCCCTGTCCCATGCCCCGTCTTCTTGGTTCCTTTAGATACAGAAAAGGCTCACATGGGGCTGTGGTCTTTCTCCATTATCTCAAAATTTTAATTCTTGTTCTCAAAACAGGTGCCCACTCTGCTCAGTTTTTATAGCGAATGATTAGCACAGGAAAGCATTCCAGTTTCCAACTTAAGAAGCTCACAAATTCTAAACTAGGAATTTATTGATGTTCCCAAACTGACATTATTCAATGATCAGAATAAAATGCATACATAAAATTCTAGCCAATTTGCATACCCTATTCTTCTATACACACACACATATACTAACTATTTTTAACCTGTGACTGTAACACGCATTTGTCTTAGTTTTATATAACCATATATTCAAGGTCTTTATCATTCAAGGTACATGAAGGTTGTGCATTTAATCTTTAACATGGTTGTAGAAGATATGATTCACAGGGTAAAGAATAGATAAAAATAAGCATATAGCAGCATGGTGCCGAATCATCAGAACTCAACATCTTATCAACAAATAGAAGTCATTCTTCTTTATTTCTTGAGCAAAGCAGTTTCATATAAGATAAATAGCTTTCAGTCAGAATAGCCTAACATGCAATATGCATCTTTTTGACATGTATATTCTAATAGTACTTTAGGGCGTAAGATTAAAATAAGAAAAATCCCTGTGTTGTATGTTGACAACAAACACTAGTTGAATCTGCATTTTTTTCATTTTTCATCTCCTGGGATGTGGCTCAATGAGTGTGCGTTTGTACATTACTGGCTATTATTAAAAGATCAACTTCTAGTGACCTTCAAGTACCATTTCTAAAGTTTTACAAGGGAAATAATTTGGGGGATTTCTACTTTTTAATAGAAAACACTGAATTTCATATCATGCTTTGAAGGTCTTGTTTTGTTTCCAGAGATCAGGGTGTAGTAATATGTGTTGCCAGCATCTAGATTTAGGATACTGGGTTCTAGATATGAGACCTTGAGAAAGACACTTATTCAAGTTTTAGTTTCCCAATCCTGCAAAGGAAAAAGTGGGGCCAGATGGTTTTTAAAAATTATACTTAGCTCTAATATGATACCATCTATAAATCATATTTTTTTTGTTAATTTAGAAAGTAGATGGGTGATTAAGGAGTCGGAATGAAGAAATTAACAGAATACCTTAAGTGCCCCAAGTCTTTGGCACTGGACTTGTCTTCCCTCTGTGGGCCTCTGTTGAAAACAATTTGATCACAAAAAACCCTGCTGATCGGGGCCGTAAAGCCCCTTCTAGTCACAATTTCTGTTGCAGGAAGTCAGGTTGTTCCAAGGTTTCCATTCTCACTTAAATACTAACTCCCACTTTTTGAGATGGAAAACTAAACTGAAGGCACTGAGAAAACTGGAAAAGTAGTAGAAATTTTAAATGTTCAAATATTTATTATTCTTTTCATATCTACCAGTTTGCATGTAGGAAGAAAGAAGTTGGGTTTTTACAGCAGACTGCATCTGATTAAAACTCTAGCCGTTTGACCTCTTTGAAATTCATCTCTGAAAGATTTTCTTACCTGCAAAATGGGCAAAATATCTACATGGGTGGTATTGCAGAATAAAAGCAATTTGTACAAGTGTTCAAAAAATGTTCAGTCTTCTCCTTCTTTCTACCTCAACGTCAAATTATTTTGGAGTGTATTGACAATGATGCAGAACATTATCAATTACAAAAAAGCTACAGAATCTATTTCTTAGCCTAACATTGCTTAATGAGGAGACGTATTTTGAAATGACAAGATGTGAAGAAAACTGCCTCATTTACTTAAAAGATATTGCTACATCAATTTAAGCTGATCAGTTTTGTTTGAGTTTGTACTGTTGAGTACTCTGCTACTTAAGTTTGATCTTTGTCTGCCTCTGTGACCCCTTCCCCTCTCTTTTGCATCTCCTGGCATCCACAACTTCAAAGAATGCACATAAACACCTCGGCCAAAGGATGAAATCAATTCTGTAGATGTCAAATTAATCATGCATATGAAAGCTTTTGGAAAAGGATGAAGATCTATGCAAACTCAAAACCACAAGTTGAAAAAAAAAAGAAGGTACAGTTTCTAAAATATAAATTAATTCCTATTAGACAAAAGGTGAGTGTATATAAACATGTGCTATGCAACTATGCCCATTTTGCAGGTCAAAAGAGAAAGGGTATAGGGAAAGCTGCAAAGGGACAGTCAGGAAGCCTGGACCCTATATCAACTTTCCTCCTTACTCTCCATCTGGGCTATTATTTGTAAATAGTGTAGCATCAAAACACCGGTCCTAGCTCTCCAAATTGCTAGACACCTGAGCTCAGACAAGTTACTTACATTCTCATTTTCTCATTATAAAAATGGGGATAGTACTACCTAACTCAAAGAGTTTGGAGGTCATTAAAGAAGGTAATGAATGTGAAGAACCCAGCACAAAGTTTTACTCAGAGAACATGTTCCAAAAGAGTAGTTAATGATTATTTTTATTATTTTTAATAATATTTTATTTATTTATTTTTAGAGAGAGGGGAAGGGAGAGAGACTGAGGGAGACGAACATTGATGTTAGATAGAGACATCGATCAGTTGCCTCTTGCGTGTGCTCTGACTAGGAACCAAAACCACAAGCCAGGCATGTGCCCTGACGGAATCAAACTAGTGACCTTTTGCTTTGCAGAATGACTCTCAACCAACTGAGCCACACCAGTCAGGACTATTTTTATTATTACTTTTGAAAGAGAAGATTGGATTAGATAATCTATGCTTATTTGTTTGTTTTTATTTAATCTTCAAAATTAGACAATTCTCCTTTGCTTTTCTAACAAAATATTCCTTGCAAAGCTTGCACACCCTGACCTCAGGGTTCTGGGAGCCTGACTAAATTTAGTAAGAAGAGTGCTCAGACTGGGCAATTGTAAAAGCAAAAGTGATCCTATCTTTACAGACCCAGTTGGTGTAGCCAGTATTCAAATCTACATGTATTCCTCCATTTTCAGTTTGTACTTAAAAATCACAGAGCCATCTCAGATAATGAAATTGAGTGCTGAATATTTTTGCAAGCCATTATTATAACATCTGAAAGAATATTATAAACATATACAAGATGTGACTGTATGGTAATGAAATGAATTTTCTTGTGCAGCATGAAGACTCATTAGCTTAGAGCCAGGCTTTGTGCTGTTCTACAGAAGTTGCATATGACATTTCTCTCTAATGGCTCATGCTGTCACTATCTATTTGTCTCTTTCTCCCTCAGTCTTTGGGAATGCAGACATGCACTTGTGTGTAAATTAATAGCTCTAGCAGAATCTAAATGAGAACCCAGAAAAGTCCTTTCATTTTCTGAGCCCAATAAGGAAAAAAGGGCCTTCTTCCTAACTCTGTATTTGACCAGAGTTATTGTTTCTAAATATATAATAAAATACTTGTTGTATGGGAAAGACTCCATTATATAATTCTTGGTAGATTAAATTGGAACTTTGTTTTTAGTGATTTTACTTTTTTACATTAAACTGTGATTAGCAGGTAGGGAAAAGAGTAGGTGTGCAAACTTACTTTCTTCATCAAGCAGATTTTCAGCAGCTGATAGTAACCTCATCCTGTCTTCTGGGTTTTTAATGTTTAATTCAATGAGATGACTCTCTTTTATATCCTTTAAATCTTCTAGCGTCTCATAACCATTGAGCAAAAGTGTTGATGTGTATTCCTGTGTGGGAGAAAAAAATATGTATAATATGAGCTTGTCAGATTCGAATACCTTATTTTTAGTTCTCTGTTGATTTAAACAAAGTGTAGAAATAAATATGGAAACCAAAGATGCCAATAAAACTCTTGCTTAACTTTATTTTAGTTGTACTATTTTTCCGCATATGAATTGTAGGGCATTTAAAAGAGTGTATTGTATAATTCTGACCTTCTGGAAGGGCAAATATAAAGAATATCTTAAGCTACACAATGCGAAATAATGGATCAATTAAATAGCTGGACCATTCACCCTGTTTGGCACTTTTTCACTTCTCAACTTGCTAAATTGACAAAGCTAGCATGTCCTTAGGTCTACCAACAAAATGCCTCCAGTAGAGTATATTACAGTAATATTTTTGAATCTATATGTCTTGTTTTCTTGATTGCAAAAAAGAGCTATTCTAATTAATTTATTGAGGTAAGTTAAAAATGAATTTGAAACAAATAGAATTTATATAAAAAATTAACTTGGGGTTTTGGTTATAAACTAAAGAAATCCAAGACTTTCCATTTAATTAAAAGTTTTTATTAAACTTTACAAAAGTGCTGTGTTTGGGAAAAGTACTGTTACCTTCTTTCAGCACATATACCTTGACCATCATTTGCATCAGGATATATTAGTTTGAAATTCACTGGCTTCTGCCCTCACCAGTGTGGCTCAGTTAGTTGGGTGTTGTCCCACAAAGCGAAAGGTTGCAGGTTTGGTTCCCAGTCAGGGCACATGCCTGAGTTTCAGATTCTGTCCCCAGTTGGGGCATATACAAAAGGCAACTGATTGATGTTTCTCTCTTACATGGATGTTTCTCTCCCTCTCTTTCTCCCTCCTTCCCCTTCTCTTTAAAAATAAATAAATAAAATCTTAAAAAAATAAAATGCATAAACTTGCGATTTCAAAGTCCGTATGTTATTTATGAATCCTCTGTTCTCTCTTAATAGCATAACAACTCAAAGTGAAGTTGAATGCTTTTCAACTTTCTCAAAAATTCCTCCCATTTTACTTGACCATATTTCAATATCCTTATTTTAGTTATTAAAATTAAGAGGTATGAAAGTTGTAATAATCAGAAAGAACATATTACCAGCTCTTTATGTACAAAAAAATAGCAATTCTTTTAAAAATATCCAGAAGGAAACTGAATTAGAACAGAGAAAGTCAAAATTCCCATTCTGACATAACCATCTAACTGTGGTTCTTGACTAAGTTATTTCACTTCCTTAGACCTTGGTTTCCTCATATATCATGGAACAAACAAGTAATGGGGGAAGGATTCAAACTTGGACTTCTTCCAAGGAGCACCCGATTTGGGGACACCAGTAGTAATACAGAAAGATCTAGATAGTGTGTCTACAGATAAGGCTATGCCAGATAATTCAGGACAAACAGTTAACAAAAGTTTAATTGGCTATTGCCTTAATAAATTTTGAAAACTATCAAAGTATTACTGTGTTAATTTTTAAAATGGATTGCAAGAAAGTAAGTTGAGTAAGGTTAGGTATATCAAGTGTACACACCATTTAACATGCTAGATAGTTTACTAATATAATGAGAAAATAATTGGACTATAAATATAGACAGCACAGTTTTCTTAACACAATTATACAATCTTAATGGTCACTGTTTCCTAACAAATTACATTTAAAACAATATTATTTAGTTATTTTCACTTGACTTGCTTTTGATCTCTGCACTATACAACGTATATATTTTTTCCATCTTTTTCTTTCACTTCTCTGGCTTTTTATCTTCAATTTTCATAATCTATCATTCTCATTTACATGTTTTCTCTGGGCCTCTTATTTTCCTAGGTATTTTTTTATTTTTCACAGCACTCTCTCAACATAAATCTCTACTGTCATTGCTGAGGACCATTAGAATTCAGTCGAAAGAATGTTATATCAACACTCATTCTTGAATAATAAAAGTAATAAAGAAGAAATAAAACTGTTCTTGGAAAACAGATTTTCCTTTGCTGTAATTCATGTATTTTTTAACAATTCTCTACAAACACTGATCTACTCTCCTCAATTATTCTGTCCATATGTCAGGAAAATCAAATAGGCCACAGGTTTGCTAACCTGAAGATGAATCTTCTCTAAGATTTCCTGCAGAGACTTGCATTTTTCTGTTCCACTTTTTCTGTGTGTCTTTATTTTCTTGGGGGCTTCTTCCTCTTCTGAGATGACATCCACATAAATAAATTTGAAGTTTCCCACCTTATTGTTTAACATTCCAGTCCACATCCCCATTGGTGTTTTGCAAATAATGTCTATGATGTCTCCTTTCTAAGGACAAAGAAATATGCATATCAGGTTTCGGAGAACTCTGATGCTATGACAATTGTCAGAAACAATGTAATCATAGAAAATAGAATAATGAATGCATTATGCTAAGGAATTCCAAGATAAAAGAAATAAATCTAAGAGGAAGTTTCTTTGAAAAGTTTGAGGAAATTATTTACTAGTGATAATGAAGAAAACAACGTGCTTGAAGAAAAACCCCTACATTTGATGATGTTTTTGTTTTTGGTATCATATCAATTTATCAACTTTATTTGTAGACTGCAATGTAATTTTACATAAATTCATTTTATGCTCACAACACAGTTCATAGGTCCCTATACAAGGTGTCATTATTACTCTAATTATTACAGAAACTGAGACACAAACATTAAATAACTTCCCATGAGTTTCTAGGAAGTTAATGGCAGAGCCAGAACTTAAGCCTAAGTGGTCTGAACTAAAAAATGATTCACCCCTTGAAAGCGATATATATATATATATATATACACACACACACACACACACACACAGAGAGAGAGAGAGAGAGTGAGAAAGCATGTGCGAGCACGTGCGTGGGAGCAAAACTCAAGCCGTCATTTCTGAAGGGCCTCTCATATTGGGGAAAAAGGAGAAAGAGAAGTCTGTGTCTCTTTGCATTTCTAATTAATCTGAAAAATTTCTCTACCGTATAAAATAAACATATCTGAATTATTACATTCATCTAACATAATGAAACTGTTCAGAACTTTGTACATACCAAATACATAATAAAAATATGTGTGTGTACTAAGGATAAATTATGTTACTTAATTATCCTAGGGAAGACAATTCTTAGATTGAGCTCCACAACAAAGTTTGGGGTGAAGTATGAATGAAGCACGTTGGTATAGATAAACTAGTTGGTTTTTTTTTTTTCACATTTGAAACTCTACTTGGCTACAGGCTTCCAGTTATAGGCAAGAGTACAAAACCCCACATGGGTAATTATTTGTAAAAAAAAAATTTGATATCTATGCAAATACAATGCCTACACATAACAGACATAGTTACTCCTTTGAGACTTACAACTTTCTTCCCCAGAGAAGACATTATACTTTCTGGTAGTTTTGCCATATTAGGGGTCTACCCTCAAGCAAGCAAAGCATTAGGTCAGCTACTAAAAATATTTTTTCCTGCTGCCCTGGTCTTTCTGATTTGTAATTGCCTGTTAACCCTATGAGCTGTTCATCTACACCTAGTTCTTCCATGCCTTTAACAATACGGTGTCAAATCCCTAGCTCAATGGGAGCAGCCAAGCAGACCCAGAAATTCCTGAGAAACTCTAAAGGAAGTTTCTAAGCATGGCAGCCTTCTGCATACTTCCTACCATCTTTTACACTTGTAAAAAAAAAAAAAAGTATATTCCAGAACAGGTCACCAAGCAAAGACACAATTTCATTTTGGATAAAAACATTTATGGAAACATTAGTATCCAATTTGTAGTAGTAACTGTGGGATTCTTATTGTGTCTTACAAGAGCTCCACAAACATTACTTGTAGGCAGCACCAGAGGTAGTGGACTGGCCTGATGCTGTAGGAAAGGTGAAAACCTATCCTGAATCAAAACGTTTTCCATTTATTCCCTTCCATGGCCCTTCTGCCACACTGTTTGCTAGACTACCAGCATGCTTTCCAAAGACAGAAACTAAGAAATGACTAAGGAGCTAATTGTGAGGAATAATGTTCTCAGTCTCCAGTTGAGTTTCCTTTGATTTGATACTAAAGAATGAAGAGAAGAGCTGAGTGCCTTGAATGTTAAATAATAATAATATCAATACTTCATAACTTATTATAATTATTGTTTAACACTGGTTTGGTGTTGACAGTGTAAAAAAGTTCATCAATTCTGTCTTTCAGCTATGTTAACACTTTGTGTAACTAAAAAGAATAATTTAACATCTATAAAATATTTTAACACTAAACCTTTTTCTATTTGTGCCATCGTAACCAGCTTCTCCCCTTGAGTGTAAGCAGCACAATGAAAATGATGGATTTCTTGCCCATGATTTTGTTGTGTTATATGACAGAAAGGACTATGCAGATGTAAGTAATGTCCCCAATTAGTTAATTTTGTAATTATCTGTGTGTTTCTGATTTAATCAGGTAGGAGCAGTTAAAAATAAAGAGATTGGAAGCACACGCAAGCCTTTCTCCTGCAGGCCTTAAAGGAGCAAACCGCCATGTTATAGAGAGAAGGCCATGGCTGGCAGCCCCCAGGGGCTGAGAATGACCCCCAGTTGAAACCCAGCAAGGAAGTCTGTATCTTAGGTGAGATCATGGTTCTGGCTGAAACCTTGATATCAGCCCAGAGAGACCTTAAGCAGAGGAGCCATACCCAGATTACGATCTACAGAACTGTGAGCTAATGACATTAGTGTTGTTCGAAGCCCCAAAGTGTGAGGTAATTTGTTATACAGCAATAGAAAATGAATGCAGAGGATAAGGGTAAGAAGAGGGCATCAGGAGGGAATATCTTTGGTAGAAAGATGTTTGGTTATTCAAGGTAACGAATTTAAGCACTGAAGTTGCCTGGGCCTAGGTTGGTTCCCAAGGCCTTTGCTCTGTTGGTCTCTTGCCAGGTATCTCCACCTTTTTTTCCTCTCCTTGGATTTATTATTTTCACTTCAGGAATTATCAGGCAGAGTGTACAAAGACTCCGCTTTTCAGAAAAATGTACATAATTCCATCTTCCCAGATAGGCTTTAATTCTGCATTTTCTACATAACAGCAACTTATGCTAGTAACCACACAGGCTGATCCCCCTACCCTACCTGGCATGTTTTGTTTAAATTCTGCCACAGTAAACCAGTCCCCAGTTCTGTTGGGAAGAACACACTCACATCTACTCCCCCTCGTTCTCATTGCTTGTTCTTCTGAAACAGATCACACACCAGCACTAGGCAGACCACACAGAACGCAGAAATGTTGTGCACGCACCTTGATTTTGAGGGAGTCAGTGTCATAAGGGCTTGGCGTGAAATCAGTGTGCACCCTGGCACGGCCACAGAACGGTCCGGAGTAGGGGCAATCATCATCAAGTCGAAAGCTGTCCCGATTGCTTGTACCATCTGAACAGCTTGTTATTCCACCTGAAGAAGGCAAAGCAAAGGTTAACAGTTCCCATTGAAGGTTCATAACATTCTGAATGTTCATCTGGACACAACTAAGTAGGAACAATGCTGACACATTGGATGCCATCCTTCTGTAGAGGTTCTAAGTGACCCACCCTGTTTCTGACTCCCAGGAACCCTCCAACAGTGACCTCTGTCCTCTGAGCCACTTTTGACCTTTCTCCAGCCAACTTGATCACTTTTTCCTCAACCACTAATCCAAATACCCTCTGACTTTGGTCCCTGTGATTTGTGATCCGATCCAGGAGTAGAGTGTTTTAGGTATTGGATACTTGTTAAAGGTGCAAATAGTATAGACTTAACTCACTGCACAAGCCAGATAGTTTTGTACAGGTGGTTTTTGAAACTGTTATAAACTGAACCTTTTAAGCTTCCCCAAAACTCTTGTTCTTTGATCCCCTTCCTTTTTGGCTTGGAAAAAGAGGAAAGTGATTCCATTTTGCTGCTTGTCTGGGGGCAAGAGTGGTCCCCAGTGAAAACAATTCTCAGTTTCTCCATCAAACTCAATTGTCACTTCACTTTCTCCTTCAGTGTGGCCTTTCAGTGCTCAGTTAGATGATGGAACAGCCTTGGTTTCTCTATCATGCATTGCAATAACTTACCTCATGGAAACAAGGTAAGATCCTTAGGGATGCTCCATATTGTATGTGAACTTGTGTAAATGAAAGGTGAGTTCTAATTTCAGAAAGTAAGTTGTATGTAACTTACATACAACTAAGTGGGTCACCATCTCCTTACATTCCCTCCCATGACCATGCCAGGCTCTGGCTTTTCATGGTGCATTCTCATTAATACAATTCTTTCCACATTCAGCATCACAGTTTGGAATTTTAAAATTTCTAGCAGAAATGAATACTAATGATATCTGAATTTCGCACATGCAAAAAACTTAGCCTTCAAATGTTCTTGCAGTAGCTATTTCTTTCTTTCTTTCTTTCTTTTTTTTAACAAAATAACTTCTACAGCCAATAGAATAATAGAGATAAAATTCAGGATTTTGAAACATCTGGTCTTCACTATACAACTTCAAATAACAGAAGCAGTTGATTTAAAAGGAAATGAAAAATCAACTTTGCAAAAAATTATTTAAAAGCCTTTGAAAGATTAGAGGGATGTGTGACAATATACATATAAAAAGTTGTAAGGCACCCTGCGATGACAGTAGTTTCATCCAAATATTGTAGCTGAATATGTCACTGAATCCTGAGTGATCTCCTTCTTAGAAAAATATCAATCTTTTAAGAAAATCCTTGTTGAATACAAATGGGTGATAGTCCTACTTTTTAAATATTTACATATTTTTTCCACTCTTTTCTCACTAATGCTGGGCAGAAACATAAAAAGTAAATGTCAGAATTAATGTACATGTTCTGTGTTTTTCAGATTTTTCTGTGGAAAAGAAAGGGAAGTGAGGAAAATGTGAGAGAGGACAAGGGAGGGAAGAGGGAGAAGGAAGGAAGGAAGGAAGGAAGGGAGAAGGAAAGAGAGAAGGAAAGAAGCTAATAGAGAAGAGACAGGGAACAGGATTTTATTTATCTGAACACTTTAAATCATTTAAAAAATTTTGACTTGAGATAGTGCTAGTTTAACTCAGCATAAATTTTCAATCACCCAACATGATCTTTTGAGGCAAATCCCCAAAAGCACTAATTGCTGTTAAAAATTGCAAAATAATACATAATTCTATCTAATATATTAAGTCCGTTTTAACAATAGCAACTCTTTAAATTCAACACATATATTTTCGTTATTTGTTTTATGAGGTAGCTGGAACCTTGCTGCTAATTTGACAAACCAGTCCCAAAGAAGCAAATCTGTTGTTTATAGTTAACTCAGATCCCCTGCCTAGGATCTTGGTTCTTATTCTATATCCTTACTTGATGAGCTCCGCCTACTGTAGAGACTATCCATGGAATCACTGGCTTTGAGGGAGAGCTTTTCTGTGTGCGTCCCAATCATGGGGTCACTGTTCCGACATGGGAGGCCATCCTTTCCATCTTCGACATCCTTCAGAAAAACATATCAGAGATTAAGATCAGATAACTGACTTCCTTGGACATGTTCACTGTGTGCATTGATTCAACAAACAAGATACAAGTTAGCAATAAAATACTTAGGAATCATTAATCTTAAGTTCAATTTCTAGCAAGATATTTTATAGCATACTTGGAAAAATTCTTTAGATAGAACATTCCACATTATGGAATTCAACTAAAATTATAATGGTTCATTTTTTAAATTAGGATGAATATCGTATCAGGACTATTTAACCAGAAATATTAGATTTATTGACATCTATGCTCTTTCTGTTAAAGAACTTTTATTTCTTCATGTTCTCTTTATCACCTGTTTACCACCATTACTAATCCTTTGAGAGCTGAAACTCTGCATAGTTGTTTCATGTGAGTTATTTGTACCCCACCAGATTACTAGATATGAATAAAACATGCACACTTTGCAATTCTAAAGGAAAACTTATCTAAGAGGCTTCACAAGTCTCATACCATGCTTGCTACCTAGTCAAGTGAAAAGCAAATCTTGCATAAAATTAGAAAGACAGACAATTTCAAAACAAATTACATCTGCTTGAAAACATCTCAAGTATTTTCCATATTTAGATAGTTTGGACAAAAACCTATGAATTTCTTAATATTCATCAAAATGTAATTTAATATTCCTCATTTTTAAGCATTTCTAAACATTAATAAAACTTAAGAATACACAGTAGATTTATGCTCAGTTTGAATCTCTATATTTATCCATTCCTTTGTTCATTTGTTCAGTCGTTCACCACAAGTTTATAGAATACTTGCTAAGTACCTGGCACTGTTTTGGGAACTAGGGATACCATGGGGGACAAGGTAACAGGGTCTTTGTTCTCATGAGGTACAGTTTCGTGTGTTAGGCTGTGTGTGTGCGCACATGCACATGTATCGTGTTTGGGGAGGTGTGTGTAAATCAAATAAGCAAGACATATGAGAAAATAGTAAGTGCTATTAAGAAAATAAAACTGGGTGATAAGAGGGAATTAGCTACTAGGATTAAGTTTAGGGAGAGTTGTTAGTTTAGATGGAGTAGCCTCCAGAGACCTACTCCATAAGGTAATATATGTTCTGAGTTTTTGACCTGAATGATGAGGAGATATAACTTATGTGAAGATTTGGAGACAGTTTTCCAAGCAAAAGAAACAGCAAGATCAAAATAACTAAACTCAGAATTAATTTGGGTTATGCAGGGGGAAACAACAAGAAAGGAGAGGGTCAGGATATGAGCTAAGACATGTAGACTGGAGCCAGATCACCAAGAGCTTTATAGACCACATGTGGTGGCTGTGGAACTGTGCCACTCAGATTTTTTGCTGAGGAACCCTTCTTTACTGACAGCCATAGCTACTGCCCCTCTGTAGCTACCACTGGGTTTGCATGGGAGTTATGCTGCCTGCCAGTGACTGAAACAGTGGGGCTTTAGTTGAGTCTACTCTCATGGGATGTGGGATTCCTCTAATGGTAAACTGTAGCCTAGGGAATCCTCATCAACCTGGCCAAAGCTTTCTCAGAACAGTGTTAAAGTCTGAGACTCTAACTGATTCTCCATCTTTCTTCCTCTGCTTTTACTGGTGCCAGGTTTTCCCTGCACATTTCTCCTTTCTTTTGTTTATTCTTCACAGGCATTGTCCTCCTTAAATCTTTGGAATATCTATTTCCATCTTTGGGTCTGCTTCTCAGAGGACTGAAATGAACACACCGTAGTAAGGAAATGCATTGTGAAGGTATAAGATTTTATCCGGGGAGTTAATGTGTTCTGAATTTTATTTTTTCATAGTTTTTTTTTTTAATTTTCATGTGGAGAATGACAGTGGCAAGAGTGAAGAAAGGAAACGAATGAGGTGATTATTAAACTAATTTAGGCAAGAGAGGTTGATTATTTAGTTTAAAGTGTGAATAGTTTACATGAAGAAATTAGGGGCTTTAGATATACTTTGAAATTAGAACCAAGGGGATATGCTGAAAAGTTTGTGTTAAAAGTGAAAGAAAGAAGGAATTTTGCGATTCCCCTGCTGGGACTATACCCTGAGAACACCAAAACGCCAATACAAAAGAACCTATGCACCCCAATGTTCATAGCAGCACAATTTACAATAGCCAAGTGTTGGAAGCAACCGAAATGCCCATCAGTAGATGACTGGATCAAAAAATTATGGTACATATACACAATGGAATACTACGCAGCAGAAAGAAAAAAAGAAGTACTAAACTTTGCGACAGCATGGATGGAACTGGAGAGCATCATGCTAAGCGAAATAAGCCAGGGGGCGAAAGACAAATACCATATGATCTCACCTATAAGCAGAACCTAACCAACAATGCAAAGAAGCAAGGAAAATATGACCAGCAACACTGAAAGGAAAAGAAATCAACAGAGACAAGAGGGAAGGGGGGGGCAGGGAAAGGGAAGGGAAGGGGAAAGTCAAGGAACATATAGCAAGGACTCATGGACAAAACCAAAGGGGAAGAGCTGAGGGAGGGAAGGTGGGAGGGGGCAAGGGAAAGAGGTGGGGGGAAGGCAGAGACAAATGTATTTAAAAAGTAAATAAATTAATTAAAGTATCAAAAAAAAAAAGAAGGAATTTTGAATAATTCTTAGGCTTTCTCCCTTTCTTCCTTATTTCCTCTCTTCCTTCCATTCATCTGTCTGTTCTTCCTGGCATCTAGAGTTATGATGGTGTTGTGTGTTGGTACTGGGAAGACTGGACAAGAAAAACTTTGTTCGTATAGCATAAAGAATCAATAATTCAGTTTTGTATATATTAGGCTTTAGATATACCTTCAAGTGATGACATTAAATAAGCAACTGGATGTGTAAGTATAACAGATAAGAAGTCATAGCTAGGTATGCCTTTGTAAAAAATAAAAAACTTGTGAGACTGGATGAGAGAGAGTAGGAGAAGAGTGTAGACTGAGGACAGCATCCAGGAACAAGCCTCAGGAAGGCTCAATATTTAGATAGACAAGATAGAAAACAGAGCTAAGAAGAGAAACTGAAAAATAAGGAAAGCCAGTAGAAAGCCTAAAGAACTCAGGAAAAGAGAATGTTTCATATGTAATGGAATCATTACTTGTATGAAATACAGCTGAAAAGTAATAGAAGAAAAAAGAAAAGTGGCTACTGGATTCGGCAACACAGAGGTCAATACTGATTGTGACAACCGTTTCAATGGAGAACTAGGGACGGAAGCCCGACTGAAGTGGGTTCAAAAAAAGAGTGGACTTTAAACATATAGATCAATGGAATGGAACTGAGAGCCTGGAAATAAACTCATATATTTATGATCAATTGATTTTCAACAAGCATGCCAAGACAATAAATACAATGCAGAAAAATTATCTTTTTAACAAAGTGTTGAGACAACTGGATATCCATATTCAAAAGAGTAAAGTTAGATTCCTACCACACACCATGTAAAAAAAATAATGAATTATGCACTAAATTTTAAGAATTACAACTATAAATGTTCAGAAGAAAACATAGGAGTAAATGTTTTAAAACTTAAACAAATGGTTTCTGAGATAAAATACTAAATGCACAAGTGATGAAACAAAAAAAATAGACACATTGCAATCCATCAAAATTATAAATATATTTGTGCTGCAAACGATACCATCAAGAAAGGGAAAATAAAATTCACAGAATGAGAGTAAATTTATGATGTTGCAAATCATATATCTGATAAAGACTTGTACCCAGAATATATTTTAAAAATACTTAAAAATCAACAATAAAAAGACAAGCCTATTAGAAAATGGGCAAAAGATTTCAATAAACCTTTTTCCAGAGAAGATATACAAATGGCTAATAAGCACATAAAAAATTCTTAACATTATTAGCCTTCAGAGAAGTGCAAATCAAAACCACATTGTGATTCCACTTCACACCCATTAGCATGGCTAGCATCAAAACCCTCCCCCCAAAACAGACAATATCAAGTGTTGACAAGCATATGAAAAAATTGGTAATCTCATACATTGTCAATAAGAATGCAAAGTGATGCAACTACTTTGGAAAACAGTTTTCCAGTTTCTCAATATATTAGAAGTACCATGTACCTAAGAGAATGAAAAAAGATTTCCATGCAAAAATTTGCACACAGATATTTGTAACAGCCAAAAAGTGGAAGTAACACAAATGTTCATCAACCGATGAAAAGACAAATAAAGTGTGACTAATGTATAAAATGGAATATTATTTGGCAATAAAAAGGAATGAAGTACTAATATTTTCTACAACATAAATGATATATGTTCTTCACATACTACATGTGTGTGATCTTTTTGAACCTCAGTTTCCTCTATTAAACAGGAGTAACAATACCTTTACACCCAACTTCTGGACACAATTATTGAGGGAAAAATAGGTCTTCAAGTCCTTCATAAAGAACAAGCATTTCTATGTCTAGAAGAACATGTTAAATATTTTAAGAAAAATTTAATAGGAAAATACAAGTGATTAACAGAGTACACCTACCTTTTCCTCAGAAAGTGCTTTGATGTACTTTTTACCCACTTTTTTCTTCATTGTCCAGGAAATGGCTCTCATCTTTTTACTTAAACCTCTTCCATGATTTGAATTTTTATTTTGTTCCTCACTTTCATTTATGAGCTCCCCCTCATACACCTAGTTAGAATTGTTTACAAAAGACAAGATAATAATGGAATAAAAGGCATTAATCCTAATACTTCTCTATAATATAACAAAATTATGTGACAATATAATTAATTCAATATATTTTATAATGTAACATGAATTACATCATACAAAGAGTATATGAAATAGAATATATCCATCACCTCACCTTTAGCTACTTCTCATATTCCCCTTACTATAGCAGTGTTCTCAAAAGTGATCCAAAGGCCAGCAACATCAGCATCACTTGGGACAATTTGTTTTTTAACAAACTCTTCAAGTGATTTTGAAACATGTTAAAGAAGTTTGGAATCAACTGGAATCAAGCATTGCCATACTAGTCCAGTTGCTGCTTCTGTTCATGTTCCCATCAAGGTTGCACTTGCTGTTGCCATTGGCTTCCCTGGAGTCCACGAATGTATTCCTTCCTTCACCCAGTTTTGTAAGCAAATGGCAACTAATAACATAACAATCTTCTGATTGATTGCCCTCTTTAAAGTAGTTCTCACTTGTCCATAATGCCTGCATGTATACCCTGGTTTATTCTTCTTGTAAACACTTAACAGGACCTGATAATATATCTGTTTGTTCATTTGATTACTGCCTGAATCTCCCGTTATGATGTATGTTCTATGAGACCAGAGACTTTACCTGTTTTAGTTCTTCTGAGTGTTTAGAATATTTCTTGGAGCATAATTGACATACAATATATTTTGAATAAACAAAACTTCTCATGTGGAACTTTGGAGTGATTTTTTTTCTGGAAAGATGTGTTTGGGTTACATATCCTGAATATCTCAGGTTTGTAAGAAAGGACCCTATAAGATGATCTAGTCTAGTGTTGTCCACCATTCCAAATAGGTGGACAGCTAGTCATTCTCTGAATAAAAAATCATGGAAACTTCTATTTAGTGAGCTTGAACATTTTAGTATGAAGGTTTAACCATATAATTAACATCATTATTAATCAATACTATGTTTTACTTCATGTTTTACCCCAAAGTACCTATGATAAATATGAATGGACAGCCAATTTAAGCCCTCATTACGCTTTATTAATTTCTACATTCAAGGTTATAAAGACAAAGATTCTTTGCTTAATTCAAAAAACACTGGGAGGGAAGTGGGGGAGGAGGGCAGGGGAAAGTGGTGGCGGGAAGGTGGAGACAAATGTATTTGAACTATGAAAAAATTTTAAAAAACACTGAATAAAATATAACTTGAAAACAGTTTGAAATTTTAGAGTTAGCCTTTTTCTTCTCTTTTTTCTCTATTTAAACTTAATCTTCATTTAAAGTTACAAATTAAAATAAATAAGAAAGTACATCATTTTATTACTACCTGTGTTAATTTACCATTACATAAATTTTAAAAACTACCACAAATATCTTTAACTTTAAATGTTTCTATCATTCTGTTCAGAAGCTTTAAAGAAACTACCTCAACATAATTTTAATTTTAACATTTATCGATGCTGTTTTCTTTCATTGCCTGAATCACAATTTTATTTTAAAATTTATTTATTTATTTTGTTCTTGTTTTAATCTATCTCCCCCTAGATACTGGGCTTCATGAAATAAGGATTTTCATCTGTTATTGTAACAGTACTTTCTAAGTGCCTAATGGAAATTCTGTCATAGAATAAATATTTGTTGAAAGAATGAATGAATGCTAAATTACTGAAAAATGTGCAACCTACATCATCAGGTTCACTAAACTTTCACAAATACTAGCTCACTATTACTAGTCAATGAACTTGAATGAGACTGAGAAGCTCTTTAGGTTAACTCTACAATTATAAACTTAATAACAAGGAAGTATATCTACCTATGATCATGGAAAGTTAAAAGTTATACAATATGTTAACTGAAAATAAAATTACGTAAGGTATATATATATATATACATATGCTTATGGGTAAAATATTTTACCCATAAGCATATGTATATAAACATATAAATGGATAAAAGGGAATGCATATAATATACATGTATAAAAGGGGATATGTTATACACACATGCATATATAGTACTAATAAAGATATTTATAAAGCAATAATAGATGTCATTTTATTTTCACTTTTTTGTCTGGAATAATCATTATTAAAATGAACATATTTTAAAATATTATAGATAGATGCATAGAAATCTTAAAAGTATTTTGAGAAATTAGATACAATAAAGGAAAATTATTTATAAAAAATAAAAATAAAGATACACTAATGAGAATGAATAATTAAGAAGTAAATAAATCTAAAACCTACTGCTCTAAAACAAATGTATCACATATGGCACACATAGGAAGCTTTTCTTAAGCTACATCTAAAAGGTTTATGGTTTGCAAATGCATATGGAATGGTCACCAGAGACATTTCAATGCAGGTGGTAGAACTGTGAGTGCAATTGAGGAGCCGTATTCTTTCCTTACAAAATGTACTGGTAGGCTATTTAATTATCTCCTAAATTAAAGATGGTACAACTTAAATAAAATTTAACATATATAATATTTTATGGTGAAAATGCTCAGAAAATTTGGAATTGTGTGTGTTACCTGAAGATGTTTCTTCTTAAATTCATGTTCTGCCTTCCCAAACATCTGTTAGGCTTTTTAGGTATCTCTTGATTCCTAGCATGGTACTACATACTAAAGAATTATTTGTTCATTTATCACAAAAATATACGCAAAGCTATAATTTTAAACCTATTAGTTTTTTACTATACTTCACAAAAGTTATACTGGCTTTATACTTTTTCACGTATTTGCATTATTCATAATGACATAATAAACACTAACCTCAGTTGAATCATCAGGTTTTGATATGGAATTATTCCGAAAACGATCAAAATTCCCAAAGCTGCTGCTGCGCTATAAAATAGGAAAAGAAGGAAAAGTAAAGGAAGCTTAGGATTTGTGACTTTTATGGATAAAAGTGCAAAATAGATTATAGTTCCATAAGTATCAGTCATGCAATTACAGTATTAAAAAAGTTCTCTATCGAATAACTAAGGTAACTGAAGGTATAACTATTATTAACATTGTAATTTTACAGCTGGTAAAATTACAAAGTGCCCTTGTATGTTTTATGTTATAGTGTTAAAAACTTTGGAGAAAAACTATTAATTTTTTATTTTATAGTGCTAATTTTGCTCATATGAATGGCATGTATTACTCACCCACCAACCAACTAATAAACAAAGAACAAAACAAACAAAAATAGCATCTTAGTAGATGCATTATGCCTCATAAAGATCATATTTGTCAAAAAATGAATACAATTACACTTCTACTGTTAATTCTTGCTAATTTGTAAAATTCTCTACTTGCTGTCAGAAAGAGAAGACATATGCATAAACCTATTAATAAAATGAAAACAGCTTTTAGAAATGCACCACTAAGTTTTCAAGTAAAACTGAAATTCTTCCACATTTAACATGAAGTTACAGTGAGATCTTGTATCAGTTTCATTTATTGGTTTTGAGGAAAAAGCTTTATTATGTTAACAGAAGTCTTGTTCCCTTGGTTACTTTCTGTCTTGCAAAGCTAAATATTTAGTCTTCTTCAACTTATTCTAGGCAGGCAATTATAAACAATTTCTGATATACTACAAAATAAATAGTTCTCCTAAACACAATTTCAAAAATCTTTAGTGTCAATTAGTCAAAAATTGATATTTCTTCGTTCTATTTAATTTTATACATTGTCTGGGAAAGGTGGATGTTTGATATTATGTCCTTTATGTACCCACAAATCCAAGAGTATGTTCTATCTTCAAAACTTTCTCTCATTTCAAGCTTATATTTTCTAAATAAGCTGGTGGTACTGAAAAATAGCCTGGTGATTAGAAAAGTTATTAATGAGAGCCGGTAATCTATAAAACTGTATTGTCCTTTCAGATGTCACAGCCCACTTTAGTTCAAATGAGCGCCAAAGTCTCTTAGTCTTCACAAGCACTCTTATACTCATCTCTGCTCAACAGCTACCTTTAAAGCTCTTTGTTTCCCTTTGAAATGAACTGAAATAAAAAGATCCTGACATGTGACAATGGGTTAGCTTGATAGACAGTATGATACAAAATATACACCCTAAGGATGATGGCTGTGTTAGACACAATTAATGCCTTTTGCTGACTTGCCACCCCTGCTGAATGAGCCCTTCAGCTTGAGGCAAGCGAAGAAAAAGAAAAAGGCTGAAAACAAGAACCACACTGGAAAATACAAAGCCTTCCCATGCAGAGCTTACTAACCTAGAGTGACTTCCCAAAGTATTAATTGCTCCCACTTGCCTAATAGGCACTTTCACCAGGCCCTCACTGCCCAAGGATCACAAAAGGGGACTGAATGTATTGTTGTATTTCTTAGGAACTATCTGAACACAGAGAAATTTATTATTGTTTTATATACTTGAAACAGTCATATGGACTATTGGAGCCTACGCTTAGGGCAAATTTGTAGCCTACATCCAGCCTGCATCCCGCCTATCAAATATTAATGAGGGTTACAGCATGATTTCCACCATGGGGTAATGGGGTCGTGTTGCCCAAGAGGGTACAGAATAGGCTCACTTCAGCATTTCTCTGCAGTATCTTCTGCCATTAAGTAATCAATAATCACCGTGTTTTAAAATTAATTCCCCCTCATTGTATCGATAAAGAGAAATGAGTTTAGGAGTAGTGGTTTAAGAAGGCTTCAGGACTATTACTTTGGATTTGTCAGTCACCTCATTATGAATCATTCAATAGTTTTAAGCCAGAGGAGTATAATAGGAATCCATGCCAAGAAACCCTTAAGAAGCAAATCTATGTATCTAAAATGACATTTTAAAAATTTCATCATTCTTTAAGTCTAAAAGTCAGTGACTTTTTGAGATGTTTTTCTAGTGCATAGGTTATGGGTTATGAAGAAAAGGGGTTAATATCTACTCTGAAGTATAGACAATGAACAAATTTATAATTTTTATTCTAGTGAAGTTTCTAATGAAAAGGTGAATAATGTGGAAGCAAATTGGCTTCACGACAATAATATTTTATAAATGAGAATGTATTATTGGAATATTGACAATTTTCCATGGCATAGCTGTAATGGATTAGATTTAGCAAATATTATCCTGGGACAGAAGCTCCCATCAAGACAGAACTTACATATATATGCACAGAAGGGTAACTTAAATAAAAATGCAATTCAGATTTGAGATAATGCTTTGTTTCTGTTGACATTAGATCATACTTAGTCTTTAAGTAGACTCTATATCAATTTATAGTCTTTTGATGTCCAATTAAATATGTTTGTAAAGTGACACAACACCTGCAGTGGGTAATTTGGCAAAACTAGCAAAATTACCTTTGTCTTTGCCCTTTGACCCAGCAATTCCAGTTCTAGACAGATATACCAGAGATACACTTGGATATGAATTGACTTACACATCGACATTCATTGTAAAAGTTTTATATTATCAAAAAACTGTAAACCTCAATGTTTATTATCAAAAAAGTACTGAGTGAATAATATACGGTGAAACAAAGGACTTGGGTGCCTCTGTAAGTAACTGAAATATATCTCTTTATACTGTTAAGGAATGATCCCAAGATACAGTATAAGTGAAAAAAAGACACAGTGAAGAAAAACATCCATAGAAGGCTACAATTTTCATAAGGGTTGAAAATATATGAGTATTTTAGTACTGGAAAATATCTTTTGTCTTTCTTGGAGAAATGGGACCAAACAAACGAAATAAAAGAGATGGGAAAAAAACAGACTTCTTTGAATATACTTTCTTTTGTAAATTTGACTTTAAAAACATGTAACTGTTTCACATATTATGTTTTACATATTTATAAACAAAATTAAATAAAACCATCCTTAAAAATTTCAGATAAAAATAAACAAATGAACTTAATTTCATATTTAAGTGGTGGCTTAGAGGAATTATTTTAAGTGATTTTAAAAAACAGTAAATTGACTGTCCAAAAGCCAAAAAAAAACCAAACTAACTAAATTTTAACCTGTTTTTAGTAATCACATTGCTATTAATAATATTGATATATATTTTAAAAAGGTTAAGGGACAATGAAAACAAGTAATAATGTCAATGACATTTGGAGTCAAGATTCTCAGTCAGAATTCTCACAATTCTCATCTTGTCATACCATAAAGCAAGTAAGCTTTCGAAGACTATTGCCTCCAAAACAACACAGTGACCATATTGAAAATATTCACACTGGAGTGAACTGTATCCAAAGATGGGATAATTTTATTATCAATGGCTCTTGTTTGTGTGGCTCAGTAGATTGAGAGCCAGCCTGTGAACCAAAGGGTTGCTGGTTCAATTCCCAGGCAGGGCACATGCCTGGGTTGTGGGCCAGGCTCCCAGTTGGGGGCACACAAGAAGCAACCACACATTGATGTTTTTCTCCCTCCATTCCTCTCTAAAAATAAAAACATAAAATCTTTAAAAATTAAAAAAAATTTATTGTGAATAATACCTAAAATATATGAAAATATATCTAATATTTCAAAATTCATAAGTTCATAATTATACTAAAAAGAGAAAATCCAGTAGTTACCTTTGGAAATGTTATATGTAGTTATATTATTAGAACTGACAATTAAAGGGAAATACATTTGACCTGTTTGTCTTGTATGAAATATATTTCAGACTAACTACATACATAATGAGGAAAAATCTCCTTCTATATGTATATGTATATTCTAACAAATCAATTAAGAGTAATGAAATTACAAAATTACTCGTTTGTAAACCCCTAATGCAATGATGGATGTAGAAAATATTTATCAATGGCTACTCCGATTACCAAAAGAGAGAATCAGAATGTCTACTTCATAATGGAAGCACCTAATACCACCAACAAAAAATTCTTTAAAAAAATCAATCACACCAAGCTCTCTATTTCACTACCAGATTAAATACAGAGACAGAGGAACATGTCAAATGATACCGAGAGAATGCAGTCTATCATAAAAATCTAAACAATGAGAAAATCTACAGGACAAATGACCTGATTTTAAGCTGATCAATAGAAACAAATAAAAGAACAAAAAGAAAGTAAAGATTAAGAACTATTAAGAACCTATCCATGGATCGTGTTTACATACACATCAAATAAACTGCTATCGCTAAAGCACTAAGAAAACAACTGACAAAATTTTTTAAATAAATGGTTCTTTGGTGATATTACAACTTTTTATTTGTAATTCAACACAATCTAGTGAGGGGCAGCAAGTGTGTGAAGTGTGTGGGCATAAAGAAGACACATGACCGGCCATTATTTAATGTTTAACTGGATGATGGATATATGGGTAGATTGTACTACTCTCTACTTTAACATGTGTTTGAAATTCTCTATAACAAAATGTTGGATCAGGAAAAGAGAAATGTACCTATATAAGCAATAAAAATAATTTACAAAATGTTAATATGTGGGAATAGGATATATGGGAAAACTCTGTACCTTCATCTCAAATTTGCTGTGTATCTAAAACTGTTCTAAAAAATAGTCTTAAAAGAGTTAATCCAGGTGTCTTCTGCTGAAAACAAAACAAAACAAAACAAAAACATAAAACAAAAAAAGAGAAAGTCAATGGCAGCAAATTTCAAAGGAACAAGTTTGTAAAAATATCATTAGTATTGCTTAAGTCAGTTGTTTAAAAGTACAGGCATATTTAAGGAGGAAATAAAGTGTTGTCCCCTAATTTGTTTTAGTACGACTAACTTTCTGATATAAATGTATGCTATTGGATTGCCTTTCGAAGACGACCTGAGATAACATGGTGAAGATTACCTTCTTCCATATAGTCTACATGGTTTCCACAAAAATAGAGCTGAACAAGTCATTTAGGGTGTTTGAACAT